TAGAGAATACAGTAGACCCTCTAAGCTGATCAAATAAGTCATCGATACGAGGTAAAGGATATCGATTTTTGATTGTGACTTTGTTCAATTGACGGTAATCGATGCAGAGTCTCATCGAACCATCTTTCTTTTTGACAAACAGAACGGGTGCTCCCCAAGGGGAAACACTCGGACGTATGAATCCTTTATCGAGTAGTTCTTGTAGTTGAGCCTTCAACTCTTTCATTTCAGCAGGAGCCATGCGATAAGGGGTTGCAGATATCGGTCCTGTTCCAGGAACAAGGTCGATAGAAAATTCTACTTCTCTAGAAGATGGTATACCAGGAAGTTCGTCAGGAAATACGTCAGAAAAACCACATACTGTCGGTATGTCTTTCAACTCAGGAGTTTCCTTTCGTGTGTCATGTATGTTACACAGATAAGCTTCACATTTCTTCCGAATGAGACACCTAGCGTGTATGTACGAGATGAATTCAGTGGATTTAGGTGTTAGTTTCTCTTTCATCTCTATAGACTTTCCCTTTCCAGACTTTAGTTGAATCGTTCGTCGTCGGCAATCGATAACTGCTTGGTGTTCGGTGAGCCAATCCATTCCGAGGATGATGTCAAATTCTTTGTACGGTAGTTCGATAAGATTGACAGAAAATTGATGTCCTTCAACAATCAATGGACAGTTTTGATACACATGATCTAACCTCATACTATGTCCTAACGGGTTAGACACTAGTATAGGTTGTTCTAAATGTTCTTTCATTATGTCAGCTTTTTCAGGCATTTGTACACAGATATAAGACAAAGTTGATCCAGGGTCTATCAACACATGCATGACAGTATCAAATAAGGAGAACATACCCTAGATGACGTCAGGGCTCTCCTCAATTCGTGCTTTCATTGCATATGTACGAGCAGGAGCTCGTCCTTGTTGTTGGTTCTGATTCTTGGCTGGATTAGACCCCGCTGTTGAGCGTTGACTTGGTGCGGGTCGTGCCGATGCTGCTTGACTAACAACAGGGGCAGGTGGATACGGTTCTCCAGGGTTTGTAGGGCACTCCTTTCGAAAGTGTCCTGGTTTTCCACAGCCGAGACACAACCCTTGCTTAAGCCAGCATTCTCCAGGGTGATTCCTTCCACAATGCTCGCAAGCTGGATACCTCCGCTTTTTGGACTTATCAACGGATGCCATCGACTGAGTTTGTACAGATTTTCCCTTTTTAGAGAAATGTGAATTGCTAGGTTCTTGAAAGGGCCTTTTCCCTTTTGAGGCAGAGCCGGTGGGACGGTGAGTGTTTGAGCTGACATTATTTGTCTTCAGATACTCAATACAAGCACTCAAGTCGCTGTCTGCCCTGGCAATGAGATCGTAGGCCTCCGCGAAATCCACAGTGGTTAGAATGGATACACGTGACCTGAGGTCAGGTCGAAGTTTCTTCCTGAACTCCTCAATGCGATCGGTTGGGGTATTTACTAAGGTTGGTGCAAACTTTGCGAGTTTGGTGAACTTCTGACGATATTCAGGGAGTGTCATGTGTCCCTGTTCCAGTTCAACAAATTCCTTACGTCTTTCCTCGCTAAATCGTTTCGGAATATATTCTTACTTGAATGCCCATTCGAAATGTGCCCATGTCCACGGCTTAGGGGTTCCCGCACTCTCATCCGTCCTTTTCCACCACTCGTAGGCTTCCTTTCGAAGCAATTGAGAAGCCAATCTGGGGTAATTGTCCATGGGTACATTGAGATCTTCCAACACTCGGGCAGTCTGCTTGATCCAGTCCCACGCAATCTGGGGTTCACCGATGCGATCCCCAAGGAATAAATCTGCACCGTTATCTCTTAGCGTTTTGTAGGTTATCACTCGAGGTGGCGGTGGTGGAGGTGGTTGAAACATTGGCGCGTTGGCTATTTGTTGCAACACATTAGCTAGAAATGCTGGAATCACAAGGTCGGGTTGACCACCACCGTTTGGGTTATTCTCAACATTTTGTTGATTGACGGGTTCATTTTGGACGGGAGTGGTGAAACTAGATGCTTCAGTATGAACACTGACGTGTTCATTGTTGCCTTGTCCGTGGGCGGATTCTTGACTCATTCTACAATAACAGAAATTCCTTTATTAGGATTCTTTTATTTTAGTAGTTGACTTCATAACAGGAATTGCAAAGGATTACAACATTCGATACAATTAATGGATTTGAAACAAACAACGAGAAAATTTCTAAACGTTTGCATTCGTTCGATTGGATCGTAACGATTCTACAGCTGGGTCTTCTACGCCCGATCCGCATACGCTATTTGCAGAGTCTATGCTGAATGTCTCTTCCGGGTCATCCCGTTCCCATGCAGCCTTGCGGCGCAGATAAATCTTTCGTTTCATTATTCGTGCGAAGCGATGGGCGCGTTGATAACGTATCAGCGAGTCATATACATTTCGTTTGTTCTTTCGTCTTTTACCATGTACGAAAGTGCGACTTGAATCAACACTTGATATCATTTCCGAATTAACAGTTGACATCTATAAGGATTTAATACAGTCAAATTCAATACTTAAT